TGGCCCCAGCCAAATGTTCTGGCATTATGGGATCAGAGGCCCTGCTCTTGGAGGGAGCCGCAGATCTCTGCCACACGCGGAAGTTAGGGGGCAAATAGGATGGGTGGGAAGGCTGGGAAAACTGGTAGGAGCCCACAGTGGCCATGTGTCACAGTGGACAGAGCCCCCGTCCCAGCCAAGGGACAGGCTGGCTGGAGCCTGTCCCCACTGCTGCCGCCGGGAAGGACTGTCCATCTGTTCTTGCATTGTGGCATCAGAATCCGGAGAGGAGGGGTTCCTTTGGCAGAGGCACAGTCAGGAGCCTGGCCGTCAATGGCCAAGGGCTTCTGTGGAAGGAAAGGGCCACCTGGTCCACCCACACCACAAGACAGAGAATTCCTCCCCTTAGAAGATGCGAGTTAGATGCCTGGAAGCAAGCCTCCCCCAAAAAAGCCAAAAAAAAAAAAAAAATGTCCACCACCCACTTAAGGACAATTCTTTGTTCTCAGGGCCACTGTTTGAGATCAGCACCATGACTGCCCCGATCTTAAGGAATCAGGGGTAAACTTTGCCGTCCACTGCTACCAAACTTTGTCTGAGCGAGGCATTCCTCCAAGTCCTTTACTACAGACTCTTTTAACTTGTCTTGGCCCCAAAACAAACATCCAGGACAGGCACCTTAGTCCCCCCATCTGATAGAGACACCAGGAGGCGGGGAAGGTGTCCCCCCACTGGGAGGCTAGGAAGCAGCAGCAAAGCTGGGGTTTGAACCCAGGCAGTCAGTCCGCTCCAGATCCACGCTGTGCGACATTGTCAGGGCAGAGAGAGGCAGCAGGGAAAGGTGTGGGACTGTGCGTTCCGGGATGAGGCTCCGTCCACCCCTCCCCCTACCCCAGGTTTTCCAAACAATTTTCTGCAGAAGATCCTGGATTCATGAGTATTTTGTAAATGAGTGTGTCATTGCTGCCTTTCTCCAAATCGAGCCAATTCCATGGCAGGGTGAGTGAGGGACGTTCCAGAGGGGCCCTTCCAGGAAGTAGGGTCCGGAAAGAGGAGCGCCCCAGCCCCCCACCGGGAATTAGCAAACGTATAGGAGAAGCTCTGGGACTTCACCAGGCCTCCGGACAAAGGGCAGAAAGCCAATCTCATTCAGGCCTCGGAGGCAGGATGGTGAAGGGCTGCCAGCTCAGCTCCCCGGACTCGAAAGCAGCAAGTGAGGGGTTCAGCTTCCTGCCAGGGCCGCACACAGCCGCCCTGCCTGGGAACTGGGTTCGCAGACTCGGATTTCACCATTCCCAGTCCTGACCCCGCGTTCCAACAGAGGTGTTCCAAGCAGGTGACAGCCACAAAGCAGAAAGCCAAGCAAAGGGAAAACAGGCCTGCACAATCCATCAGGGGTTCTCTGTCCCCGGATTCAGCAGGACCATCCCCGGACTAGGCAGCTGGGCCCTGGGCCTCATGGGGACCCAGCTGACCTCGAGAGGAAGGGGCACAGCCCCGGGGAAACCCCTGCTTCGGGGACATTGCTACAACCTGCTCTGGGAACCCCACGCCCAGGCCATGGCAGATTAAAGAGCTGGGATGGTGGGAGCTGTAGGTGCTCAGGAGTCTGCTGTCCACACCACACACACACACACACACACACACACACACACGTGCACGGCATCAAGGAGTCACTTGACTGAATCACCACATACCTGATACCCCTTATTGTGTCCCCAGGGCTGAGGGGGTCCTACTCTTCTACCCAAGCTCTCAAAACTCAGGCCAAGGGAGTTTAGTTACTATTCATATATGTTACTCATTATTAGCCTTATCATATTGCTATTTCTTTCTTAGTTTTTCCAGTACCCTGACCTGTATTAGGCATTTTCTACCCTTGGCCCTCCCCCACTGCGTAAGGTGGGGACCCCACACCCACCCTGCCGACGGAGACATGGAGGCTGGTGGTCATGCGGCTCACGAAAGGGAGGACCTCTTCCATGTTGGCTGGAGAGCGCCTCCGACGGGAGGAGGCCATGGCTTGTCCTTCCAGGAGCAAAAGAGCCATTTCTGAGGTGACCTGGAGGAAAAGGTCCTCATGGGGAGGAGGAGTGGGCTGACAGGGCAAGCTGTGTCTCCTTGAGGGCCTCTTACTTTGGTCTCCAGGAGACAGCTTGGAGGGTTCTCCTGGGTCCAGGGAAATAAGTCAAGACTAATTTCCAGCAGTAGTCGAGCAGTCCCTGCTCGACAGTGTGGGTGCGTCTGGGGAACCATGTTTGTATTATGTCTTTACTGACATCTGTAATGGATGGAACGAGGACTGGAGAACTAATCCAGGGCAGCCAGCTCGCTTTGGGGCCAGAGACCCACTCTTTTCTTTCATAAAAATAGGAGCTAAGAGACATGAAGTCTCCGGTTAACGAGTGCTGGGCTCTGGGTCTGTAGGAGCCTGTGGAATCGGAGCCAGTTTGTACCCCACATGAAGCAAAGTCAGGAAGGTTCTCTTTCGTGCCTCCTCTCCCTGCAGATGGGCGGACTCTTGCTTCCATGTCTGGGACCAAAATTATAGGGGAGGAAAGAAGCCACAAGGATGCAGAGTAAGTAAGTAGACCTGAAGCAGAAGGAGAAGGAGGAGGAGAAGAAAGCGGAGACGGAGGAGAAGAAGAAGGAAGACCCTGGGGGAAAAAGAGAGAAATAAAGTAAATGAGAGAACAATTCCTTTCTCCCCCTGCCTGCTCTAGGTTTTATGGCCCAACACTGTGTCATTTCCATGATATCTGTATCGCCCCGGCCTCCCTTGAGCTATTTTGAGTGATTTCTACTCCTCGCAACTAAACAATTCCTGACAGAAAAATAGGAGCCAAGCACGGGCTTGCAGTAATGAGGTCTCCGAAGAGACACGAAGCCATCTGTGGCGTCGAAGCAACGTGAGCGCCCACAGAAAGGAAGTCCTGTGGTAGCTTGTTTAAGGGCCACGAATTCTTCCCATCTTAGCGTGTCCGCCCCTCTGCAGTATGACCTCGCTGAGTCCCAGTCAGAGGGAGAGCCCGTTTCTCTGTCCCCTTGAATCGAGGCTGGCCTCGAGACAACGGAGTCTGGCTGGAGTGGGGTCATGTGAGTTTCGGAGCCCAGGCATCAAGAGGACTTTTGGCTTCTGCCCTTGCCTTCCTGAGACTTTGTCCTGAGCCCACCTTGTCCAGAAGCCTGGGCTGGCCTCCTGAAGGATTAGAGACCATGCTGAGGACCGCGGCGCTCAGCCCACAGCCAGCACCAGGGCCAGCAGCGGGAGTGAGCGCCCAGGCCCTTTCGACCCCGAGGAGCTGTAGTGGACCGCAGCTGTGTGCCCGAGCCCAGAAGACACAGCAGAGAGTCCCCTCAGACGGTCAGGAACTAGCCTAGATCTTTGCTTTAAATCGCTAAGTTGGGGGCCACATTTTTTTAATGCTGATAAACTGATACCAGTTATAGAAATCAGCACCAGTGCCTGGGCTGTTTCCATAACCCAGAGCTAATTCATGTGCACTAGTCCAGGGACCCCGGAGATGGGCGGAGGCTGGAAGGACAGTCACGGAGTGATCTGTGGGAGCTGGAAGCACGGGAAGGAAATTGCTCTTGGAGCCTGGGGAAGGGGGACGTGCTGCACTGTGGCAGAACTATTGCGGATACTTGGAATATGGAAAATGTACCAAATGAACTCACGGGTCTGGCTAGAGAGTTTGCCAAGCCAAATGTGGAGGAGACCGTCAATGGATTTCCTTCCTGATAAGATATAAGAAGAGAGAGATGAGCTTAAGAGAGCTCTGTTCTGTTTGCAAGCAGAATTTAGAGGCAATAGGAAACCATCAGAAGGTAGTAAGTTGAAAAATAAAACCATTTCTTTTTTAAAAAATTTATTTATTTGAGAGAGAGAGAGAGAAAGAGTGTGAGCAGGGGTAGGGGCAGAGGGAAAGAGACAGTCCCAAACAGACTCCCCACTGAGCACAGAGCCTCATGTGGGGCTCCATCCCACACCCTGACATCATGACCTGAGCCGAAATCAAGAGTCAGATGCTTAACCGACTGAGCCACCCAGGCACCCTTGTAAGACCCTTTATTAGGACCTCAAAATTGTCTAAGGCAGTGCTGTGTAGCCTTCTCCGCTGTAGGAAAGAGTTTCTAAAAATCTTACGGATGCTGAACTATGACACACCCAAGGTAGAGATCTGTCTCAAAAAGAACAAAGTGGCTTCTGGGGCATTGAGGATCCCCAGGTGTGATTCATGAGAAACCCACAACATTTGAGAGGACCGTCTTAAGCAGAGTACCCCTAGTCTGGACTAAAAGGAACTGAAACAGTTCTAAATGAAAAGAGCCCTGTGAGTTTTACACACAGGAAGCAGGCCAAGAAAGCCAGTCAGTGCAAAGAGTTCTTCTGGAAAAGGAGACCCTCTGAGACAGCAGAGCCCTGGGTTGGAGCCAACAGCCAAAGGGAATGATGGACCCAGGGCCACCCCCAGGGGCAGAACCAGGCCCTAATCAAGTAGTGTCATCTTCTGTCCCCAGAGCAGAGCATCTTGGTCACAAGCGCCTGGCTGGATCCCAGAACTGTCACGGACCAGCCATCGCCATGCACCTACTGTTCCTGCCTTTTCCAAACGAAATAGTCTATCTTGTCTCACCATTGCATACCCGGTGTGTGAGGGTAGACCAGTTGCCCGGCGTGAAGAGGCGCACCAGCCATATCTGGACCTAACCTAGACCACAAGACTCCAGATGCTGAACCTGATGCTGCCCTTGGAGGAAGCCTTGAGGGTCTTGGGAGCAGGCCACACAGGACCTGCTGAGGAAGGAAACTGAATCATTTGTGGCCGGAAGATAGATGTGGACATTCTTTATAGAGGATGCAAATTCCTCCCAGGCCAGGGTACCCACCCCTCTGCATGACGGCCCTGTCTCCCAGTAGGGATGTGGACTCCCAGCAAGGATAGAGACTGGTAATCCACCCTCCTGCACATGTCTGACCTTGGGACTTGCTACCACCAATAGAATCTGCCAGAAGCACAGGCATAGGATCTCAGGCCTTTGGGTTTCTGTCTTGGCCCTCTTGGGACTGTGCCCCACGCCCACCAGGCCTTGAAGATATCTGGGCTGAAAGACCACGTAGAGGGAGGAGGAAGTGTTGTCACCACCATCCTGGCAGGGCCCAGGCCCCAGGTGGCCTTCCGCTGACCACAGACACAGCCAGCAGTGGTGTTACCCAGTCAGTTACAGAATCTGGGGGAAAAAAATAGTCAGTCTAAGCTACCAAGATCTGGTGTGGTCTGTCATGCAGCAGAGTCTAACGAAAACATCTGCCCCCACATGCTGGCAGCCACAGTGGACAAGCTCCAGGCTCCGACTGTGGCCCCATCAGGAGGGGGACCTCAGGGTCCATGATCGCTGAAAGTCAGGATACCGGGGCTTGCCGATCGCTCCTTCTGGCCTAATATAGAAAGAGAGAGAGAGAAAGAAAAAAAAAAAAACAATAAAACACCAATTCTGGGTTTTCCAGCTGGAACCGTACATGTTTTTTTTAATGGAACAATTTTATAGCTTTCTGCTTTTCTCCAGCCCTCCGAGACAGTCGAGACCTAATCCAAAAACTAGTCATGCACCTTGCCAAACTGCAACAGCAGAATTTTCTGCCATTCTGGATTTCTATGATTAAAATTAATTCACTTAATAAAAAAGACTGGCAGAGAGGAAGGAAACTGGGCATTCTAGGCAGAGAAAAAGCTTTGAGCCGAGGCTCAGAGGTGTGGTATCAAGGAGACTTGCACTCAGATTCGAGTAAATGGGTTCTGAATGAACAAGGCTCTTGGCCAGTGGTTCCCAAATATCAAAGTCACTCAGATGGTTTGTTAGAAACCCAGATCATTCAGAGTTTTTGACTGAGCAGATCCGGGCGTTAGGGGGGAAGGGCAAGAATGTGCTTTCCTGACAAATTCCTTTGTGATCCTGATGATGCTGTTCAAGCAGGTACCACACTTTGAGAATCACTGGCTTGAACTTAGCCCCTAAACAAATAGGGGTTGGGGTGGGTGGGTAGGGAGATTAAGTGGTAGTTCCGACCTCAATAATGCCACCAGGAACCTGGAATTCCAACCTGTCTTCTTGGACACACTTAGCTTATTGGTTTTCATCCTTATGTTTGAGGTCTCCTGGTCACAAGATGGCTGCTGCAGCTCCAGAACTCACATCTACATTTAAAGAAGGAAGAGAGTAGAAGGTGATCCATGAACTAGTGGAGTTTGAGCTCTTTACCAGGAACTCAAAGCTTTCCTTGAAAGGCCAATCCTCTTCCCACTACTGCTTCCCCCAACTCCCCCATCCAGATTTTCAGATACATCCCTACCTAGAAAAGAGTCTGGGCTGTGGAGGGTGTAGCTTTCTCACTCCTATGGCAGAGGCATGCAGGGAAGAGGGGGTGGGAAATAGAGCTCCAGTGTTTGTCACGGAAGTGAAGGTAACCAAAAAGCTTGGAAGCCAGTCCTTGCCAGAATCAAGTGGGGGACACACTAGGCACCCAGTTATGTGTGCAGGAGTGCCAGGAGTGGATGCAGGAAGAGCAGCGGGATTGGATCTCTTCTGCTTACTGGTTAGATGATCTTGAACATGTCCCTTTACCTCTGAATCTCAGTTTCTCTTCCTGTGAAAAATCAAATAGCCTCATTGAGTTGTTGTGAGCATTGAGTAGGGTAGCATAGATGCAGGGGCCCCTGAACGGTGGGCTGGAATCAAGAGCGTGCAGCTCTCACAATAGCCCCCACCAACCGAGGGCTTGCTGTGCACGGAGCTCTATGCTAAACCCTTTATGGCCCTTTCTCCTTTCCTCCCCATGATAGAATTCCCATTCTTCAGGTGGGAAAACAGAGGACAAGAGGAAGCTTTTATTTATTTGTTTGTTTGTTTGTTTGTTTGTTTATTAAATATTTTATTCATTTGACACAGAGAGAGCGCACAAGCAAGGGAAGTGGCAGAAAGAGGAAGAGGGAGAAGCAGACTCCCCGCTGAGTAGGGCGCTGGTTTCAGGCCTCGATCCCAGGACCCTGGGATCATGACCTGAGCCCAAGGCAGACACTCAACCCACTGAGCCACCCATGTCCCCCGAGAGGAAGCTTTTAAAGTCACAGCCTGGTAAGCAGAGAGCAAAGACCCAAACCAAGTCTGTTGGGCTCCAAGTGTGCACCCTCAACCACTCCTCGAGATTGCTTTTCTGGAAAAATAAACCTATCCAGAGCCACCAACAGCACGAGGCCAGCTGACATCCTTGCCCTTCCTGCTCTCACTGGGTGCGTAACCTAGGACAAGCCAGCCTCGCCTAGGCTCTCCCCACCCTCAGCTGGAGGCAGTCTGCAGGAGCCAGGGAGGACCAGCCTCCCCACGGGACTGCTGGCCCCAGCAGGAGTGGGGTCCTGTCTCGCTGAGTGCCTTCCAATTAGACTGGGTCTCCTGGTCAGGCAGGAGGCAGCAAGCAGGTGGGGCCCAGCAGGGAGCAGGCGGTTAGAGGGTAATTAGATGGGGATGTGGAACAGCTCCCTTAATGAGGAGGTTGTTCTGGGCAAGGGACACTGAGGAGGAGTGTCTCTCCCAACACCTGCTTCCCTGGGCACCATGAAGAAGCAAGAAGCAAGCAACATTCTTTGGGGCCCAGGCCCTGTGCAGGCCACAGGTCTCCCTTATACTCGGAACACCCAGGCGGTGGATGAGAATCCTGGGACTCGAAGTGAGAAGAACCTCCCTTGAGGTATGCGGCTAGGAAGCGGCAGAGAAAGATGTTGAAAAGTTAGAGACCCATGTCTGTTCTCTGTCTCCCCTAGCATCAATCCAATGTTCTTCCTCTGCTCACGTCCTCTGATGCTAGAGCACTGGAGTACCGATTACCAAAGAGATAGTCAAATTATTTACCAACTGGTAAATTTCACAGTGCCAGGGCTGTGAACCGGAAGAATTTTGATTTTAATCCCGGTCCCTACCCACCCCCCCCAACAACCGCCCCGGCTGTAGTCACAGGTGCATCGGGGCAGAACCTGAGCCACTATTGGGACAGTCGTTAGAGGTGGGGTTTCCTTTCTAGGCCACAGGGGCATGGCCAGAGGGGCTGCTCGGTCCCTCCCCCTGAGCACTCCCTTCTCTGCACCCAAAGCCCAGAGATGGGTGACTCACTCCTTCTCCCCAGAGCTGACAACAGACTTCCCAGGCAGGAGCAGCCCGCTCAGGGAACCCCCATCTGGCTGAGGCAATCTGTCTGTCTGGAAGAGGGTGGAGTGTGCCAAACACTATAGCAGCTGTGCCCGAAGTGAGTTCTGCAGATTTGGAAGATTGTCCCCAGGAGAGAGGGTTCCCTGCAGTAGTCTGTTTGGGACTCGTGAGTGCTCCCCTGAGCCCTGCAGAGTCACAGCCCCGATCGCTATAGTAAAGGTACTCAGAAGTCCCCAGGGGAGAAAGGGCCCATGTTGGGGGCACCACGTGCATTTTCTATGCCTTTTTAGCCACGGGGCTCTCTATTCTTTGTTCGGCCCCAGTAGGTCCCCGAGGACATGAGTTTTCCTTGGGCTACGGCTTTGGAAACATGGTTAGGTACAAATCCCTTCCTTAATCCCAGCAGCCTGGACGGTCACCGCCCGGCCACAGCCACAACTGATGCTGGGGAGAATGAGTAAGTGGATTCAAGGGGAAGGGGGCCCGGTCTGGGGGAAGGGCTCACGGGTTGCGGCCCAAGGGCCCCTGGAAGCCCTTCATTCTCCCTGGATCGTCTTCTCTGTCAAATAATCAAAGCCATCCACACGCAGGGGGCTCCACTAGGGCTCAGCCCTCCCCTCAAGATGGAAGAGAGGTTTTTTTTTTTTTTAAGATTTTATTTATTTATTGGAGGGAGGGAGAGAGAGAGAGCGAGAGAGCACAAGCAAGGGGAGGGGCAGAGAGAGAGGGAGAAGCAGACACCCCACTGAGCAAGGAGCCCAACACGGGGCTCGATCCCAGGACCCCAGGATCATGACCTGAGCCGAAGGCAGACACTTAATTGACTGAGCCCCCCAGGTGCCCCAAGATGGAAGAAAGTTTAAAGCTGCAACTCAGTTTCTGAGTACCGGAAAACTGGTCCGTCAGTATCCAAGGCTCTGGACTGGAACAGAGAGCATTCAAAGACCAGCTCCCCCTCCCACCCTGGGCAAGTCAACCTCTTGAGCCTCAGTTTCCATCTGAAGAATTGGATGCCAGTGTTTAGACCACAGGTTATGGTGATAGTAAAATGTGATAATTATAATAGCCACACTTATATTGTACTGACTGTGTGCCCCACGTGGCCCGTCACACTTTGCACGTTAACGTTACTTTCCTAACAAGTCTATGAGGGAGGTATTGTCCCCATGTCATAAATGAGGCACAGGTCAGTTGTGACTTGCCTGAAGTTGCCCACATGACAGGTGGCAGGGCCCGGATTCAAACCCAGGGCGTCTGGCTCCGGCGGTCACACTGTCATGGATCCTGGTGGCAGCAAACACCAGGCAAGTAGCAACAAGAATTTAGGTCATTACTAAGGGATTCGGGGGAATCTAGAGTTTGCGGGCAGTGGGAGTTGAGAGGACCCCATGTAATACAGGATGAGAGAGAGCAAGTGCAAGGAAAGGACACAGGAGGGGATCTCCCCATTCCCAGAAAGCGTGGCACGCCATCCCCTGTGGGTCTGATTTCCTATCAGTTACCCCACCCATAAGGCAAGGAGGGGAGTCCTCCTGGAGGGCATCCACCTTCCCCAGTACCAGTGTGCGTTGGTTATTAGAGCCCCCCAGGGACCCAGTCTGTCTTGCTCCATATGTCACCTCTGTCCTTGCAGGAAGTGACACTCCACGACTGGACGTGAGTCAGTGACAGGGCGTGTCTGAGCCTGGGGTCTCCAGAAAGCAGAGCCTGTGACAAACACTTAGGTGTTAGCACTTAGTGGGCGGGTGTGACCCAGAGAGCAGGGGTGTGTGTTGGGATGGGGTGGGGGGAGGGGGGATGAGGCGGGGGAGGTAGGGCGAGGAGGACAAGCCGAGTTGCTCTGTCCCCTGGGACCACTGGGAGCACGCAGCCCAGGAAGGACGTGGAAGCCTGTGTGCTCCGGCTGCTCTCCTGCACTGGCCGAGCTCACCCTAAGGGGCACCGTTCCTCCCGCTTCTCCAGCCTGTGCTGGGGTTTGTATCGGAGAAGGCCCAGCCAGGCCAGGAAGGAGTGAGGGGGCGATGGGGGTGGTGGTATGGGCAGGCTCAAGGCAAAGCGGTGAAGCAGGTCAAAACCTATGGGAAGGGCAGGCGAGCTTGTGTGGACCTGGGCGGCTGAGCCGTGGCTGGAATCAGGGCCGGAAGATGGGAGGCAGCACCTGCCCAAAGCTGTCTGCTTCCAGGAGCCTGAGATGTGTTGTGATTGGGTCTGTTTGGAAAGAGTCAGCGGGCTTCGAATGGAGGACCCGTAGCTAGAAGGATCTGACATGGGGAGGCCAGCCCGCAGTGGGTGGTCCTCAAATTTTGGTGGGCAGGCTAAGTCAAGTGCAGAAGTCAGGGTCCCATTTCTGCCATGTGCGGGGCTTGGGGTGCGCTCCTGATACAGGCCCAGGGAGCACCCGGAGAACCACCTGTGTCATTTCGGAGCCCTGGGAAGGAAAAGAAAGGTTTCCAGTCCCCTGAGATCTCAGAAGAAGGACACGAGATGGAGGCAGGAGACCCAGACTCTGGTCCAGACACAGCTCTCTGGCCTCAGTCTTCCCATCTATAGGGAGTGAGTGCATTGTTCCTGATGATCCCTGTGGGCCTTTCTGCTCTGGGGTCTCACGAGCCTTGGAGCCCAGGATGGGAAGGGGGAAGGTGGAAAGTTGTCACCACTCCTGGATGCCTAGGGAGGAAGTGCAGAAGTCTGTCCTGGGGAAGGGCTATCTGTCTCTTGGGGCAGCAGGGAGCCTAGAAGCTCAGTGCTCCCCCTGCTTGCTTCTGGAGGGGATGAAAGCAGCTCCCGGGCCTCTCTACCTGCCTGAGCCCCCGGCCATCGGACAGACCCCAAGAGGGTGTCAGAGGGCTGAATGTCCATGAGGACGAGGTCTCGGGAGGAAACAGAACCCAGGGCAGTCGGCCGGGCAGCCCTGGTCCTTGGCTGGGAAACTTTTTGCCTCTGCATGGATTTGGGCTCCGTGGCCTGGTGTCCGAGGTCCTCAGCGTTCAAACTCAAG